GAAGGACCTGATTCTATTGTCACAGCGTTGGGGGCTCCTGAGAACCCCTGGGGAGGTGAGAGGATCCATAGAGGGAGGGGCTGGGGAGACAAGTCCACCAGGGCTCATTCAGCAAGCTGGCAAGGGAAGGAGCCATGTTCTGGTGACTGTCGTGCTGGGGGTGTGGGGTGGGTGGAACTGGGCTTGACTGTGGGATGAAGCGGCCATTGCCGTGGCTCTGGACTCTCTTTGATTCCCCTGCCACAAGCAGCCCTCACCTGTCCTCTTGTGGCCAGGCCCTTGGGCTAGGGGATAATGGCTGGCTGTACTGCTTCTTTTCACCCTGCCCTCTATGTCTTTCCAAAGAGTAGGAACCCTGGGTTAGCTTGGCTGCTGGTCCCTGAGGTGGGCCGACTATACCAGGGCACTTTAGAGTGAGGCAGGGGCTGTTCCAGGCGTCCCCAGGCTGGATCCCCTCTGCACTGTCTAACTAACCTTGGAAATTAATTAAACAAAATTCCTACTCTGGCTTCCCTGAAGCCAGCCATACTGTGGACACTTGATCGCTGCATTTGGACAATGGACATTCTCCTGTTCCCATTGTCCAGCGAGCCCTCAGGTAGCACTGAGCCAGAGAGGCTCCACAGCCTTCTAGACATGCCTCTAGTGAGCATCACGGGGGCTTGAGCCTGAGGGGGCTGCCTCTGCCCACCTGTCCGCCTGTTGGTGCTCCTTCTGGGCAGGGCACCGAAACAGCATGAGGGGAGCAGAGAAGACATGGGGGATGATGGTGCCCCAACACGAGGTGTGATTGGACACTGGTTTCTTACCTGGATGGCTACTGGGCTGTAGATTTGGGTCCCCACAGAGTGAAGTGGAGCACTGCTGGTCAAGACAGGGAACTGTGGAGAAACCAGTGTGAATGCAGTAGCTGGCAGAGATGCAGAACACGCACATAAAAAAGGTTAAAATACTTAGACGTGAACTGCTGAAACATAGATCAGGTATGAGGAGGAAACTGCTGAGACAGTGGAGACCGTGTCCCAGCCTGGGCAGCACTCCCTGGAGTCAAGATTTGTGTCCCACAGGTGGATCGAGACTTCCCACGGGGCTGCAGCAGAAGCCAGTGAGCAGGCTTTGGATTTGACTCTCCAGTGCATGTGTAGGAGATGATGAATTGTGATAGGAGTGTGTTTGCATGTGTCTGTGTGTCCGCGGGTCAGTGAACAAGAGGGAACACACACACACACACACACACACACACATGAAACCTGGGCAGCAGCTTCCAGAGTTTGAGAGATTTTATTCCGATTGCTTTTATTTATTTATTTTTTTGAGGTGATTTTACTGTGTAGTCCAGATTGACCATGAACTCACGATGACCCTCCTGCCTCTGCCTTCTAAGTGCTGGGATTATAGGTGTGAGCCATCATGGCTGGATTTTTTTCCAGGCAAATTTTAAAGTCTTTGCTCTAGTAGATGAATAGTTTATTTGCATGATTCAAAGGTTAAAGAAAAAAAAAAAACACAAACCCACACACAGTGAGAAGTCTCTTCTTGCCTATACCCTGTACCCAGTGTGGGTAGCTGCCCATCCGGAGCTCCCATTCAGCTCCTATTCAGAGAAGCATGTGGCCAGGCAGAGGTCCCAGGTAGAGGCTTCCATGTAAGGAGTTCCAGGTCCAGGTGTCCAAGTAGAGGCTACCAGGCAGAGTCTGGCCAGTAAATATTCTCCTTCTACACACACATACACACACACACACACACACACACACACACACACACACCACACACACACACACACACACACACACACACACACACACACCACACACACACACACACACACACCACACACACACACACACACACACACACACACACACACACACACAGTGGACAGCCTGCACTGCTGTGCATTTTCACTTAACATCTCGGAGATTGCTCCACACTAGCACACACAGCGCTTCCATCCTCTTTTTAACAGCAGTGAAGAACGAATCGCCTGAATATTCATGGCTTCGCTCACACACCGGGATATTTATAAGGTAAATTGCTAGACACAGAGTTCACTGCCACCCTGGCCCAGGGCAAGGCAGAAATATATTTTAACTCCATCGTTCCACAGCCCATGCTTTCCACCGTGGGGTGGGCACCCACCCAGCACTCCACAGCTCGAGTCCCCCACATAGGGAATGAGCCCAGTATTGGGATAACGAGAAAGAAGGGAGCCAGGGATTCAGACGAGCTCCGGAAGTGTTGGGACCACCATGGCATTGAGTCAACCACCATGGCATTGAGTCAACTTCTCTGAGGCCTGGCTTCTCAGACTGCTAAGTGACCACAGCCCTGCTGCACGGTGGCTGCACTGACAGAGACCTCAGCTCTTCCTGTGGCTCTGAGAGCTCCTGGGCTTTGGGATGTCTTTGATTCTCAGCTCCTCTTAGAATCAAGAGAAGAAAGAACAAAAGACGGGAAGTGGTTGAACTCAGTGCCCTCCCCACCTGGCTATTGGCATGCATGTCTACCGTCTACCAGTGTGCATGTAGAGAAGGTGACGCTGTCCAGTCTTGGGCAATGGTTCAGGCTCAAAGCCTAAATGAGTCACAGCTATGGGCAAATGGCCTCAGACACAGACTAAAGAAGCAGGAGGGACAGCTTGTGGCCTTAGCCCCTTTGCCGGGGCATTATGCATGAGGAAATCAGACTCCAGTTAGAGCAGGGCTGTGTGTCGGTCCTTGTGTGTGAAAATGACATCACACTCCCCTTTCCCAGGCTTGTACCACTGGGTCACGAAATCAGAGCTGAGGCCGGGTGTGGAAGATGTACTTCCAAACACATACCCTGAGTCCAGCAAGACTCCCTCAGTTCTACAAGGAATGTTCAGAGCGCCAAGCCTGCACCTAGGTCACACGCAACACTCACCACACAGATGGCACACGCCTTGGAGGTATAGTCCTGGTCATGACTAGGGGCTTGGTCTTTGAGAGGGCTTTAGAAGGCGGTTCTGAGAGTCTCTACCCCAGCTGAGGAGCAGCTATAGATCCTGAACCTAAATTCCTCCTACCTCAAATAACTGAAGGTGGGCACTTGGAACTATGGTGCTGGGGACCTGGATGTCAGGCATGTGGTGTTGCTCTTCCTAGTGGTGGTGGGAAAATAGAGATAGACCAGGATAAACCAGGCTAGGGAGGCCTGAGTTCTTTGGGGGATTAGTGTCCTACCCCTGGGGACAGAGAGGTAGAAGCCTGAGAGGCAAAGATGCTGAAGTCATAGGTAGAGATCAGAGATAAAGGAGGCCTGCCCAGCTCTGATGACTGCCCCACCGCCCTGCCCAGAATCTAGGGGAATGTGAACAAGAGAAGAACCCAAGGTTAAAGAAACCATAGAGAGGAAGAGGACACAGTCCTCTAAGCTAGAGAGGAAAGCATCGTTGTAGGGCAGAGTACTCAGTGGTCTCCCCCCGCCCCAGTTTGGAGAAAAACTTGCTCCTGGCTGGATACTGCTATGACCTTGCCAGAAGTCCTTGCATAGATGCATGGGGTCCTGGCCCATCCTCAGCATCCATCAGCATCCTCAGAAAGGAGGAACCCAGGGTAAAGCCAGGAATGCGACAAGACAATCACCCGTGTTTCCCATTCACGAAACATGCCGATGTGGGAGGGACAGAAGCCAACCTCGTAGGGGTGATGACTAACTTTGGCAGGGTCAGGAGAAGAAGGGCCCTGGGTTCTGATAGTAAAGTCATCCTTCAGGGGTGTGGCCAGCAATTCCCATGATGCTAGGCATTGTTTGAACAACTGGGTAAACAGCTGGCGGCATCTCACAGGGGTTGCGTGAGAGACCACATGGGCAAAAAGAAGCCAGAAGGGTCCCTGTGGTCCTTCAGCAGACTGAGGCTGGGGACATTAGGACGGACTGGTGCTTCACTAACACACTCTAGGTATGTACTGAAGCATTCCCGTATGTATGTACACATGGACATACGTGTGCATAGTTCCCTTCAGTCCACTGAGGGGCCCAGAGCATTAGTGCTGGTGCAGTGAGCTACCCAGAGCTTAGTGCTCTGTTATTGTTTCCCTCCCTCCCTCCCTCCCTCCCTCCCTCCCTCCCTCCCTCCCTCCATCCTGTCCTTCCTTCCTCCCTCCCTCCATCCTGTCCTTCCTCCCTCCCTCCCTCCATCCTGTCCTTCCTTCCTCCCTCCCTCCCTCTCTCCCTTTCTTCCTTCCTTCTTTCCTTTTTGAGACAAAGTCTCTTCTAGCCCATACTTGTCGTAGAATATTATTTTAAGGTGTGTTACTTTTGTTTATGTTGCATTTGTTTAACTCTGTGAAGCTGTGTTACTGTGCCTTGTCTAAAACACCTGATGGGCTAATGAAGAACTGAACGGTCAATAGCAAGGCAGGAGAAAGGATAGGCGGGGCTGGCAGGCAGAAAGAAGATATAGAAGGAGAAATCTGGGAGGAAAGAAGGAGCCAGAGAAGGAGGGGGACTCCAGGGGCCAGCCACCCAGCTACACAGCAAGCCATGGAGTAAGAGTAAGATTTACAGAAGTAAGAGAACGGGAAAAGCCCAGAGGCAAAAGGTAGATGGGATAATTTAAAGTTAAGAAAAACTGGCTAGAAACTAAGCCAAGCTAAGGCTGGGCATTCATACATAATAATAAACCTCCCTGCGTGATTTATTTGGGAGCTGGGTGTCAGGCCCCCCCAAAAAAAGTAAAAACAGCAAAACAACACATATTGTCAACAAAATTCCCATGCAGACAAGGATGACCTTGAACTTTTGCGTGGGTTCTATAGTCCGGCAACACTTTGTGGGGCTCATATTCCCCAGTGCTGGCCTCTGGTGTGTCCTTAACCGCTCCTGTGTCTCTCGGCTGCCTTTACCTCTTGAATGCTGGGGCCAGGTTCATGAGGTGCTGGGCATGGATCCCGGAGCACGCTAGGCAAGCAGTCTACCAACTGAGCTGCATCTTTAGCTTGCCGGATCTCGGTTTCTAATACCACTTTCTATGACAGGGTTCCTCGGATAAGTGACTGATCTCTAAACCTGAGCAAATAATGCACACGATGAGCCTGGAGCATCTGTGCCAGAGGGGTATGAAGTCCTGTAACAGCGAGTGAACCCAACAGTGATGGGCAACAGCAAGGCACGGAAGTGGTTAAGGAGACACCAGAGGCCAGCACTGGGGTAATATGAACAACACGAAGTGTGCCAGACTATATATATAACCCGTGTAAAAGTAGAGTCCATAGATGAGTAATATAGTCATAGATGAGCCAAGGTGATCGGTGAGTTAATATGTAAGGGAGAAAACAGACAGGGTTCATGAGACTGTGTTCTCAGGGGGTGAGTGCCAAGCTCCACTCCGAGTGTGCTTATACTGAGACACTTCCTTCCAAAGAAGACACTGAGAAAGCCGGGCGGTGGTGGCACATGCCTTTAATCCCAGCACACAGGAGGCAGAGACAGGCAGATCTCTGTGAGTTCGAGGCCAGCCTGGTCTACAGAGCGAGATCCAGGAAAGACTCCAAAGCTACACAGAGAAACCCTGTCTCAAAAAACTAAAAAAACAAAAACAAGGAGGAGGAGGAGGAGGAGGAGGAGGAGGAGGAGGAGGAGGAGGAGGAGACACTGAGAAAAGAGGAATAGAGCAGTTGAGGGACCTGGACACCTTCAGCAGGGCCAGGTCTGCAACCCAGGGTTGAGTTGGGCTTACTGTGTGCTTCCTAACGTGATGAAAATGGTGCTCATGTGTGGTCTTTGTTTTTGAGACAGGGTTTCTCTGTGTAGCCCCGGCTGTTCTGGAACTCACTCTGTAAACCAGGCTGGTCTCAAACTCAGAGATCCACCTGCCTCTGCCTCCTGAGTGCTGGGGTTAAAGGCATGGGCCACCACCACCTGGCTGCACTTATGGACTTTTCCCCCCAACAACCAGGTGCCCAGATGACTCAGGAGAAAACAGTGGACACCAGCAAGTGTCAGTGCAGAACATTCCGCAACAGCATGGTCAAGGTCATTAAAAACACGGGAGTGTGAGAAACTGTCACTGCCAGGAAGGGTCTGAGGAGATGTGGATTACCTGCACTGTATCCCCTGAATGGGATCTCAGAGCAGAAAAAGATACTGGAGGGAAACTGAGGAAAAAGGAAGGGCAGATTTTGGAAGCAGCCCCTTAGTCCTAGCTGGTAACCAGGGCGAATGTGCCTTTCCAGTGGGAGGTGCTTATGGCGGGACTGGTGTGGGTCCCCCGGATTACAAGTATGAACCACCCCCTTCCCAGGATTTTTTCATGGATTCTGTGGATCAAACTCTGGTCAAGCTTGTGCAGTGAGCATTTTACCCGTGAGCCATCAACCCAGCCCACGATGTCGCTCGTAATGACAGTTTTATAAGAGCTGATGTGCCAGACTATATTTTTAAAAGTGCCATTTTGGGGTTCACAGTAAAGCTGAGGGGATGGAAGAAGACACTGGACATGAGGATTTGGAGGCAAATTGTGATGTAGTGATGTTGTTTCCAGGACCATGGTACTTGGCTGTTCTCTGTACTTCACAATATGTTCATTTTCTTTCTGGATTTTATTTTATTTTTTATCATTTTATCTTATGTCTGTGCACTATGTGTGTTCTTGGTGTCCTTGGAGGCCAGATCCCCTGGAACTGGAGCTACAGACAGTTGGGAGCCACCATGTGGGTCCTGGGAATTGAACTGGGTCCTCGGAAAGGTAAGAGCTCTTAACTGCCAAGCCACCTCCCCAGCCCCTCTTTTTGGATTTTAAAGTGGTAACTAACTCCAGCCCCACAAATCTTCAAACCCAGCAGCCCATGCTGGTTCACATAGCAGAAGATCTCACACTGGAGTGGCCAGGTTTTGTCCACCCTCCTTACACAGCCCACAGTCCAGGTGAAGCGAAGCTGAGGCCGGAAGTTGTGTGCATCTCCTGATGTCTGTCTTTGGAATGTGTTTGGGTTTGAAAACAAACTCTGTGTTGCTTACTCCTTTGGCAGACCCAGGATAGGTGCTGGATTGATGGCTTGGAAGGAGGACTGTAGCCTGTAACAAAACCTAATGGGGGTGACCAGGCTGGGTCCCCACCACTGGCACGCTAACGGAAATTTCCAGAGACGTTTCTACCTCCCTCACATCTTTAATTTTTCAAATGGACCTCTCTCCAGTTGCCAGGTTAACTCTGCTGCCAAGGCCAGGCGAATGCTGGCAGCAGCTCCCCAGGGAAGCATTTTAATCTCCAGCATCAAACCAGACCCCTCTTCCATCCGCCATCTGCCTGTCTCCAGCCACCTCCATCCAGGGAAACCAGGATGGGGCTGAGGGCCTAATCGGATCACAGCTCCGAGTTGTGCACTAATCAGATTGCTCTGCAGCCTGGCCCTTCAGACTCCAGTCTGAGCCTGCTCAGAGTGCACACCCTCCTCCCATTTCAATTGGAAAGGAGTGGAGGTGAGTCTGGCGTCTCAGAATTGCTTAGAGGTCTGCCTTACTGCAGTTTGCTTGGGGCAAGATCCCGCCCCTGTCTGTGACCTTGAGAAAGCAACGCATTCTCTCTGGGTCCAGCCTCCCCGTACCCTGTAGTCAGTAAAGAAATCCCTTCTCAGCTGTCCTTCTGGAGCCCTCTCGGTATTTTTATAAGGTTGTAAACAGTCAGCCATCACGTTCCTCCCCGCGTAGTAAAGTGGCATCTTTCATGGCCTTGCTGCTTTGCTTCCGGGTAGAGAGAACAGGTCAAACTTCCCCAGAGCAAACTGTACAGCTGGGTCAAAGGTCAAAGTCAGCCATTTGGCACATGCAGAACAGACTGCCGGGGGGATTGTAAGGGGGGCAAGGAGGGGCCTTGGCAAGAATTATGGATGAGGGTTTGGCAGGGCTCTAAGGGAAGGGCAGAAGCTGAGGGGAGGGAGCCGGGGTAGCATCCTACCCTGTTGCCCCAGGGACTGGGAACCTATAGTGACTGCTTTCTTGTTTGGGGACTGTATGCAGTCTGGGTTTGATAGGCCAGCTATGGCTATCCTTTCCCTGTGGCTTTGTATCTACACCCCCTTCTGCCTTGTGTGGCTGTCCATCTTCCCCCAGGCAGACTCACCCTCCACAACTGGAGCGTCTGCCCTGGTGATGTGAAACCGCACGTCCCAGGCTCTGCCCAGGTCCTGTTCTGGAGCAGGCAAGCCACTTCGTACCATCAAGGCTGTTTCGTGGTCTGTGTTTGGAAGTCGAAGATGGACGCTCCCCCTCTTTCTTGAATGGCCCTTGGTATGGATAGGAAGTCTGAAAATGCTAACGCTACTTTTATACTATAACAGAGGCTCCCCTGAGGATGAGTTTTATGGAATACTGCCTACTGAGAAATCAAACTGAAACCCAAATGACTTGGAACCTGTCTGCTCTCTTACGGATTGTCTAGACAAGAGTCAATGTTCAGACCACACCACAGTTTGGACCTGTAGCTCTAGCATTCTTAAGACTTAGGGTCCAGGTTCACCTATTGCTTACCTTCAAAGAAATAATTAAATGGTTTGGTTTAAAAAAAAAAAAAAAAAGGACGGAAGAAAATAAAAGAAATGCCCATCTAAGGCAGTTTGCCCTGGACAGCCTTGAGATGGGAGAATACCTCTGGACAGTCCTGATGGCTCTTCTCACACAGCAAAGCCCACGGAGCCCTTAGCCACTGGAGTTATCTTTCTTAATATCCCCATGGCATCATAATGGTGTAAAGACGCAGGGCCTGGCCACCCCGGAGCACTGCTTTGTACTCAGCACTGTGACCCCTGTGCGGTGGTAACCATGTCCTCTTCCCAGAAGCACTGTGAATTGCAGCTGTACCTATCTCCTCCATCTTGCAGAGATGGAGGCCTGTCTGAGGAAGACGCTGAACTGTCACCGATGTCCCCAGTGGGAAGGGCAAGATGGTAGCTCTGAAACTCCAAGCTCGGCCCCTTTCCTGGGCCCACCCCCTCCCCCTTCCCTCTCCCCCCTCCCCCTCCCCCTCCCTGCCCTGCAGGTGTACTGATGTAGGAGGCCGAGTAGGCAGGCTGGGCTTAGCTGTGTCAGTAACCGATATTTTCCTCCCTCTGTGTTTTTTTCCCTTCACGGGTCACACAGAATAGTTTCAGAATCTATAGTCCTAGCATGCATCTGTTTCTCCCTTTGACTTTTTAAAGCATCATCATAAACATTTCACTGTATATCAACAGATTCCACTTTGGTTCAGGTGTGTGTGTGTGTGGGGGGGGACCTGCCATATAGTCAGCAATTTATTTCTATTTTAATTCTTTCTACTTTTTCAATAAATGGCATCCTGATTTGTGCCTTCTCTAACGATTTGGCCACCTCTGTTTTTCTTTCGCGGGCAGCCTTGTTCTCCAGTTCACAGATGTGACTGTATCTAATCCGCGTTTTGCTCACTCGGGAGTCTTGCACTGAGGTTTCTGGAGCATTCCTGGGCACCCACCTTCCGCCCATCTCATTCACTTTTGTGATTTCCTGCTACGTTTTCACTGGGCAGAGCCTCAGCTCTCCCATTGTTCTATTTCCTGCCTCTGAGCTCTTCTGGGTGAGTCATACTCCCTGTCCTACCAGTCCCGTGGATGTGCAGAGCTTCACCTCCTCAGCCTGGCTCCCCTGCCCTGCTCTTACCTAGTCAAACTCCAGCAGTTGCTGAATCCCGTGATGTGCTCTGCCCAGGTCACTGCACTGGCTGAATCTCTTCTTCCTTCAGCGACTTCTGCCGGACTCAGGAGTCTGGGGCTTTACCCACGCGGCTCTCGGGGGGCAGGGAGGGGGTGTCTGTGTGATATGCGATGTCTTTACAGGGTCATGAAGTTGAAGAAATGAGCTAGGAATCCCAGGATGTGTTCAGCATGTATCACAGGCTTCCACCTAGATCACAGCCTCCCCTGCCCCCACCCCCATGCCTGGCCAGTGCCATCAGTAGGCAGGGGTTCCTGGCTGCCCTTCCCCCAACTCCTGTCTTCTTGTTCACCCTTCCCTTGTTCATAATTCAGGCTGCCCTTGGTGGGGATGGGCTCCCCAGTTGCTGTAGCTCCAACCGGTGATGGGATGTTCCAACCTCACTGAGCTCTATGAGGAGGCGTGGAGTCTCTGAGAATCACTATAGTCCACTGGAGGCCACGGGTGGACTCCCTGATCTCTCTCCAGGTTCCACGTTTCCAGGTAGAATGTGTGAGTGAGGCCTGTGTGTTTGTTTCTCTGTATTAAATTTATCTTGGTGGGAACTTACGGAGGGTTTCTTTCTTGAGAACAGTCGTTAACAGTCACAAGTTTAGGGTTCGGTGGGGCGCGCGTGCGTGCATGCGTGCGTGCGTGCGTGCGTGTGTGTGTGTGTGTGTGCGCGCGCGCGCGCATATGTGTGCATGTGTGTATCCCCATCCGTCTCCTGACCCCCTTTTTTCTTTTCTTTCTTTCTTTCTTTCTTTCTTTCTTTCTTTCTTTCTTCTTTCTTTCTTTCTTTCTTTCTTTCTTTCTTTCTTTCTTCCTTCCTTCCTTCCTTCCTTCCTTCCTTCCTTCCTTCCTTCCTTTCTTTCTTTCTTTCTTTTTGTTTTTTGAGGCAGGAGAAAAAACACAAAACACCTGGTGCTTGTTTCAGATGCTGGAGCCTGAGGAGGATTTGACTCTGATCACTGTCAGGGTTGTGGGGCAGCCACATGGTGAGGGCCACGAGTACATGGGTGGCCTTTGCTGACCTCTCTGATTGGTGGAGGGCAGCAGAACTGAGTGGCAGCAAATAGGCTCCCAGGCACTGACCCAGCCACTGACGGCACTGTTGCCCATAGTCAAACCAATGTAGAGGGCCGCCCAGCCCTGCCCAGGAAGGCTGAAAGGACCTGCCTTGGGGGACATGCAGCCTGGGGACAGGCTCTATGTTCTACAGCCAGGGCCCCCACCTCATACCTGGTCATAGACCCACCCCCCCTCTTGCTGGATCCCCCACAAAAGTCCAGCAGGAGGCTAGGCTCCATGTCAGGCTGGCCTCCTCTACTGCAGGATCAGAAAGATGCCCTAGTTCCAAGCCAGGGTGTCTGTCACAGGGCATCTGTCACAGGGCGTTTTCTGACTGTGGGCTTGGTTTGGCTTAGATATTTCTCTTGCTCCCTACCTCTTGAAACAGTATGTTTTGGGGTTGGTGAGATGGTTCAGTAGGTCAATGTTCTTGTTGCCAAATCTGACGACTGGAGTTCAGTGAGACCCACAGGTGGAAAGAGAGAACGGGCTCCTATGTAGGGTTGACTTCTGGCCTCCACACATGTTCTGTGGACCACGTGCCCACACAAATACGCACATGTACAGACACATAGGCATACAAATGAGGAAGTATAATACTGTAGTGGGTAGCCATTCCAGCTTTGATCTGGAAGTTCCAACCCCCATTGAGACTTCAGCAACTGTCACGCCTACAAGGCGGGGCCAAGGGAGGCGCCTGGGGACCTGAGATCTGGATCGGAGAGCACTCTCTCCCGTTGCGGGACCCTGGACGGTGGAGGCGGGCCAAGCAGAGCTCCAGAGAACACCGCTGGACTGCGATACACCTTCCCCAGACCCCGCGACCTACCTATCCCTTAATTTGTAAGTTACGCCATTAAATAAATCTTCTTTTAACTACGTGGAGTGGCCTTAATAATTTCACCAACATAATACAAATTCTTACAATTACGTTTCAGGGGCTGGGGAAGCATCTCAGTTGATAGGGTGTTTGACATGCAGAAGGCCCAGGGTTTGATCCTGAGCACCTCGTTAACCAGATGTGCTCGCTACTTTTATGTCAACTTGACATAAGGTACCAGAGAGGAAGGAGCCTCAGTTGTAAAAATGACTCTATAAGATTGGGCTGTATGCAAATCTGTAAGGCGTTTTCTTAATTAGTGATGGATGGGGGAGGGCCCAGCCCGTGGTAGATGGTGCCATCCCTGGGTTGATGATCCTGGCTTCTGTAAGAAAGCAGGCCGAACGAGCCAGTAAGCAGCACTCCTCCATGGCCTCTGCATCAGCTCTGGCCTCAAGGTTCCTGCCCTGTTTGAGTTCTTGTCCTGACTTCCTTCAATGATGGACTGTAGCAGGAATCTTAAAAGTTCTTATTAATAAAAACAAACCTGGAGCCAGGTATTGGGGTGAACGCTGGAAGATCAGAGAAGCAGAACAAGCCACAGCTGCCTCACCTCGCCAGTTCCTCAGCTGATCCTGTTTCCTCAAACTGGAAGCCTCTCAGTCCTCATCCAGAATAAATCTCAGCTGAACTGTGCTGAGATTAACCAGCCAAATGCTTCTAGCTTCTGGTCTTCACACCTTATATATCTTTCTGCTTTCTGCCATCACTCCCTGGGATTAAAGGCTCACTTCTTGGGATTAAAGGCATGAGTCACCATGCTTGGCTGCATTCTTGAACACACAGAGATCCAGATGGCTCTCTGCCTCTGAAATGCTAGGATTAAAGGCGTGTGCTACCACTGCCTATCCTCTATGTTTAATATTGTGGCTGTTCTGTTCTGTGACCCCAGATAAGTTTATTAGTGTGCACAATATTTTGGGGAACACAATACCACTACAATGGACTACAATGTGGAAGTGTAAGCCAAATAAACCCTTTTCTCCCCAACCAACTTGCTTTTTGGTCATGATGTTTCATTGCAGCAATAGAAACCCCAACTAACACACCTGGATGGTGGGGTATGTCTGGATTTCTAGCACTTGGGAAGTGGAGGCAGGAGGATCAGAAGTTCAAAGTTATCTTCAGCTCCATAGCAAGCTTAAAAGTAGTTTCTGGGTAACATGAGACCCTGTCTCAAAAAAAATATAGTATAGTCAAACCCCTCAGTGTTTACGTGGGTTAGTGACTATCTTAAGAGAATAGCCAGCTGGCCATAAACACAGCTGAGAACCATGCATCCTCAGAACAGCAAAGGGCAGATGGAAACAAGGCTCTCAAGGTGGGACTTACTCCAGAAAAAAGCACCTGCCCATGTCAGGCCCCATGAGGTGCCAAGGAACCCTCTCTCCTGCAGACACCTTGCGGGTATGTAAGAAAGATGTGAGGAGCTTTAGAGAAGCAATTATGTACCCTTGTTGCTCAGAATTGTCCTTAATACATTTTTTTCTAGAACACATAGGTTCACTATGACACCAGGGAGTCTACCTGGGGGCCAAGATGAGGCTGAGGAGCTTCAAGAGATGGTAAGTGGAAATTTGGTTCACGGGACTTGAGGCAATATTTATCGATAAAGCTAATTGGTTCATCTTGAAATGCGTAGTTGTGAGGACATCTCCCAAGAGCTGAGGCTGTAACTCAGGTGCAGACCATTTCTAGACCACTCCCATGCCACCTGCCCTGCCCTCCCAGGTTCTCATGGCTCATGGTTAAGCTTTCTGTTCACCACAGTCTGTGTCTATTTTAGGGAGGAGGCGCTAGATAGTCTAATGTGAATGAAGCTTCAGTCAGTCTGCGTGTGAACCTGTTGAGGTTCCCATCCCACCTGTCCCACCCTAGGCCACCTGTCCCACCCTAGGCCACCTGTCCCACCCTAGGCCACCTGTCCCACCCTAGGCTGTTGCAGGCTTACCTCCTGCTCACTTTACCCTCTCCTTACTTCAGCTGATTGGCTTATTCTGTTCTTGCTGGATAGGAATCATGCATAGGCTAGCAACCTCAGACCCTCTGGTGTCCAAGGAACTGTCCAAGGGCTGGAGAAGCAGAGACTTAGTTCTGAGCCCTGAGAACTGGGTGGTGGTGGTGGTGGGGGGGGGGGGGCTGGTTTGTTTTGTTTGTTTGGTTTGGTTTTGGTTTTTCAAGACAGGGTTTCTCTGTGTAGCTTTGGTGCCTGTCCTGGATCTCGCTCTGTAGACCAGGCTGGCTCACGGAGATCTGCCTGGCTCTGCCTCCCAAGTGCTGGGATTAAAGGCGTGTGCCACCATCGCCCGGCCTGGCGGGGAGGCCTGTAATTCTAGGACTTGAAGATGTGTCATGCTGGCCTCAG